ATCTAACAAGTCCACAATTTCGGTAAAATCTGAGGATATCTATGAGATCTGTAGCTGGTTACCCAAAGTAAATGCTTAGGACAGATGACTGAACCAAGAGCTTTGTCTTGCAGAGACATACTCAGTGCTGCCCTTTGGGAGGGGAAATGTTGACACCCTTCAGAAACAAAGGCAAAATCATAGAATCATAGAATAGCTTGGCTTCCTTTTTTATTTCAATATCTCATTGTTAGCTTGTGAAGCAGTTGATTTTTTTCCCCCATATTCTTTCCCATGTCTTACATGTGTTTATTTTTGAATGAGTGGACAAACATAATGGTGAAAGAAAAAAACCCTAAAGTTTAGGGAAAATTTCTCATAAATTCAAACATTCATTGCTGCAGGTGAAGCTTAACATCATCTATGCATTGATGGCTAGGTATAAATCAAAAACTTGAGGTAGAAAAAGGTCTTGTTAAAATAATGCATATGTAACTGAATGAAAAGACTTTTTGATATGAAATAAACTGTGATCCTACATTCACATATGGCTAGAAACAACTTGGGACAGGTAGATACTGGAAAATGTCCAGGAAAAGCTACATCATAAAACTAAATTTCTTCAATCTGTCTCCAAACTAAAATTAATATAGACAGTTCAGAACTATGAGAAAAGCCATCTGCTAACTAACTAGTGAACATACTGTCCATAGAGTCAGTATTGTACAAAGGCACAGTCAATTAACTTTTATTTTAAACTCTGGTTCCCAAACATATAAAAGTTTTCCTTCCGAAATAAAGCTCAAAACATTGAACAAATTCATAATATAGAAACAAATTCTTATACAATAAAAAAGTTATGTCTTTTTTATTTAAAAATTTTCCAGTAAGACTTCTCATCTTCCGGATAGTCCATGAAAAAGTAAATCCATATTCTCCTCACTTTTTATATTTTTTATTATTAATTTAGGAATTCTCTTTCAAGATACAAAGTTCTTCTGGCAAAACCTTCCTTCTTATTTTTAGCCATTTTTAACAGTCAAAATTAATTTTTCAGGAGTATAGACATAAATCTGACTTTCTATATGAAAAAAATCCCAATTTGCTTCTCCCTACCTTTCATTCTATTCTGTATTTGATGGAAATTCAAAGGAGTGAGTTTTTTTCTAATATAAAACTTCACTTCTATGAAAACACTCCCCTTATTTTAGTTTTATCCAGCTGCTTTTTAATAAGAGAGAAAGAAAGAAATACATTATTACTAATTTTACATAAAATGGCTAACTAAAATTCCGGGACATTTTTGGTTTTTTGAACTAGGTCCTTTTCAGCCAGCAAATATTATTAAGCAAAGTGTTCACATACAAAGCATATACGATGTTATTTTTCTCCCATCAGCAAAAAAATAAAACTGAAGCAGAGAACAGACTAACTTATATCCCAGAAGTTTGTTAATGAGCTTCATTATGAACCTTATGTATATGAACAAATTCTGTACTGATGTTGGAGTTATATTCAAAGACTGCTCTATATTCTTGGTACATTTGTGATTACATTTCTATGTGTCCCCGTTTTGAGTAAAACAAGCACCTGGTTAGGGTGCTAGCCTCTCTTTTTTCATGCAACTCAACCCAGGCAAAGCACACGGGTCTCAATGAGATTGAAATACATCAATAACAGCTGTGCTGCACCTATTCAGAGCTTCAGCAGCCCAGGAGTGTGACAAGCCTCATGAACTGGAGTATTCCAAGAGTATTGGTGCTATTAAAGGTCTTTTTTACCTTCTGTAACTCACTTCCCCCTTTTAGCAAAGGTGTTATAAGGTACTAACTTAAAACTCTCAATAGTCGTGCTTCTACAGATTCTACCCTCAGTGTCAAACACCTCCTGTAAAATTCAGAAGGAATTTATTTGCTGGAGAATCTGAAAAACTTGATGGCTTGTCAGATTATCTAATAGCAGAATAGAGAAACCACACAAAGATTCTGAAATTTTGAGAGTCTATCCTTAATCACAATAGTTTTGGAAAAATTACTGGATACTCTGTGCATATGCAAAGATTCATATCAATATCTTTTGCAAAGCTGAATGGAAATAGTAACTGTAACAATATATGATGCTTGTAAGAGTCCTTGTCTACAGACAAAAAGATGCTTAAAACCTTCTTCTAGGTAGTAAACCCACATCTCTTGCCTTATTATACAAAAGGAGGAGCTTCAGACTGCTTAAAAATTATCTGAAGTTGGACTTTACAAAACTACACTGAAATCATGACAAGAATTTGTCTCAGAATATGTTTCTGTGGTCAGGTGAAATGAGAAACATTTCTAGCAGATCAGTGTTGTTGTGGTTTATCCCCAAATGGAAACTGAGCAGCAGGCAGCTGCTGACTGGTCACTCCCCCTCAGTGTGACAGGGGAATCAACTGGAAGGGTAAAAGCGGAAAAACTTGTGGGTTGACATAAGGACAGTTTAACAGGAAAAGCAAAAGCCACATGCACAAGCAAAGCATAACGAAACAAGGAATTAACCACAATTTCCCACAGCCATCTCCAGGAGAGCAGGGCCCCATCAGAGCAGTGGTGGCAGAAGACAAATGTCATTGTCCCAGCTGAGAAGGGGCAGAGCCAGGCATGCAGGCACGCTGAGTTTTGCTATTCTGTACCACACAAATCATCACAGCTGGGCACAGTTCCAGGGGGAAGGAAGGGTGAACACACCCTGGAAGTGGTGTCATTTTGTTCAGTTTTCTTCCTCTCTCCAGGGGAAGTTGCTGGGACCACCCCTGCAGACCACTCAGTCCTTCTCCCACTGCTGCCCATCCCTTCCCATCCCTTGGAAAGAACACAGCTAAGCCCAGCAGTCCAAGAGTGGGAGTCACAACATGGACAGTCCAACTTTTAGCTCTTGGTCCATCATCATGGGGAACACAAGCTGTGGGAATGTCTACCATCTCATCTTTGTCTCAGTGGCCATGAGGAACTGAGTCAAGATAATGAGCACCTTTCATGTGTAAAGCACCTCTCTTTTGTATACTTTTTTATTAATATTGTTGCTGTTACTGTGCTTTTCTTATTCCATTGCTGTTGTTTTTGGCAAATTGTTGTTTCAGCTCTTACTCTCTGCCTTTGTTCTCTCTCACCAGAGGCAGGGCAAGGTGAAGGGAAATAGCTCATCTGGAGTTCAGTTTCCAGCTGGTTTTTGCACCACCACAATCATCCACCATTCAGAATTTCACTCCCTTCCTCCTTTTTTCCCCAGCTTCATATGGTGAAGATGATGCCATGTGTTATGTAATGTCCCCTGGTGACTCAGGGTCAGCTGTCCTGGCTGTGGACCCTCCCAGGTCCTTGTGCAGCCCCAGCCTCCTCACGGCTGTGGTGGAGTGAGGAACACAAAAGGCTTTGACCACATAAGCACTGCTCAACAATCACCAATAGTCCTTGAATTACCAACATTGTTCTCAGAAAAAGTCCAAAACGTAGTCTCACATACTGTGAAGAAGATTAAATTTACCACGGCCAAAATTATCACGACTTCAAATTAAATTATTGATTTGATGTCAAAATTAATGACCTTTTTTTTAAATTTTGCTGCTACCAAAGTTTTTTGTGGAGCCCTTAAAATTACACAAAAAATCAGTAAGATTTGACTCTTCTGGAGAAAATGTGTGTGTTTCATTTTTTTTTGTTCAGGTTTGGTTTGTTTCTGAAGAAAACATGCAATAATTTAATTAGGGTTGATTACAGATTGTTCCTCCTGGTTTTAGTCTCCATTTCCTGGTTTAATAAACTTCAAAACAGTTAAAGTCATATTTGAGCCATGGCTTTCAGTTTCCAAAGACTGAAACTCAACTTCCTTTTTCCACATGTCAGTCAGCCATTGATAGATACCCACTTCAAAAGAAAAAAAAAAAAAAATTCAAATTCCTTTCACTTCATATATGTCTGCAACATTTACAAAATCATATTACTGCTCCATCTCAGGAGAGGCTATTTCACTGGTATCAAGTGCTTCTGGTATAGCAAAAGAAATAGAAATTAAGCAATCAAGTCCAGACTTGACAAAGAGATAAGAAATAATCACAAACTTCTGTTTTTTCATTAGGTTAACTGTGGATTTAGGTTGGGTTGGGTTCTTTTATTTTCTCTTGTTTTTCCAGCTTGTTGTTTTGTTTTTGTTGTTTGTTTGGGTTTTGCTTTTTTTTTTTATTGTGAGTTTTTGTTTGATGCATTTTCAGTCCTAGGGAACAGACTTCTCAGACATCACACAGAACAAAAAAAGAATCATCAAATTCTATAAAAAATAGATGTTTGCTCCCTTCCAGTGCAAGTACAGGGTACAGGTGTTTGGTGGGTTGGAAAATTCCTTCAGCCATACTTTAGTGTTCCATAGGGGTCAAATCTTTTCTACCAGCTTCCCTTTAGATTTCACACTGTGCCTGGTAAATTTCAGAGTGTATTGCTGATTGTCACAGAGCAATGAAATAAATAAGAAAGGGAAAGAGTGGGAAAGGGAAGCTTTGACAACACAACAGAAATGTAAGGCAAGGAGGTGTGCCACACTCCTGACATGTTTTATTCAACACCTGTTCACAGGACACATCAAATCAGGTTTCGCAAGAAAAGAGAAAGACTTACACCGAAGTAGAAGCTTATAATACAGTTTGCTCCAAAGTTGTTTCAAAGCCTTAATTTAGAAATATTTTAGCAATCATACAAATTTCTGCCATTTTAAAAAATGTCATATATTGCTAGTTGGAGAGAGGCTGTTTATTTATGCATAAGAAAATCATTTTCTGAAAAAAGCCTTCAGAGTACTTGTGAAAGCATTGAAAAGCCAGTATTATCCCTGCTTATATTTGAGACCAGCTCCACAGTTTCTTCAGCCTGATTACATTGATTTATCTGAAAAAAACCCTAAAAAAAAAATACCTCTTTCGTGTGTTGTCTCCTCAGTATTGGTTGTTTAGGCCTGTACCTTTGGGTGTCTTCAGAGATGTCTCCAATAAATATTTATCAATGTCTCCAATAATATTTATCAATTCTGAAGTACCATCTGATGAAGAAAAATTTTCCTGGGATTTACTTATATGATACACACCTGGCTGTTATAATATTTTTCTGGTTAGTATCACTGGAGAAGATGCCTTTGTGGCTGTCCAGTTTTAAGATTTATTTGGATTAAAGTATCTATTTTTGAAAATAGACTGTCAACATATTTTAATGAATTATTTAAATTCTGAGCCATATCTTCAGAAAATCCTACCTTTCAAAGATTAAATTTAAAGAATGTTTGCTAAAGCTCAGGAAAAAGTGTGAGACAGTCTTAATTAAAGGTAAAAAAAGAGGAAATAGTACAAAAAAAAAAAGCAAAAGAAAATTATAGGGAAAGGGAAATAAATGATAGGGAATGCATACATACATACAGAATCTTTTTTATCTTTATCTAGAAACATATTTATATATGCATACACATATTCATAAGTATGTACATAAAAACACTTTATATACATATAGGTATATATCTCAAGAAACAGTCTGCTTTAAGAAGATGAAAGCAGAAGGCAGAAATGGATTTAAGAAAAAAATAAAAACAACAAATTCAAGGGGAGGAGCAAAAATTTTAAAAAAGAGAAAAGATAAAGAAAATGAAGTATCCATCAGAAGACAATAAAACACAGCCAAAATGTGACTACTAGGTTTGGAAGGATGGGGAGGGTTTAGAAGCACAGCTGAAGGGGAAGTAAGAAAGAATGGAAATTTAAGCTGTAGGATGCAAAAAGAATAAGCAAGTTTTTATATCAAATCTCATACTTCTTGGCAGCATCTATACTTGGCTAGGGTATCAGAGAAATGGTGCATACAAATAACTACAAAGTTTTCGAAAGGCTAGCCAAATACTTAGCAAAAATTGTTACTGAAACTCAACTAATGTATGAATCTATATTAGGAATATAGGACTTTTTTCTTAAAACAGTGTATGTGGTGGTTTACAAGGAGCTGTAGCTTTTTGTTGGTGCAGTTGTGGACATGTTCAAAGTGGTAAAATATCTTCAACTTTTTTTTTTTTATAAATTACAAAATTTCCTGGCTTTGCAAAGAAAGCAAGTACTTTTTTCATACATATTTCCTACAGCTCCTTCTAACCTAATAATGAAAATGAACATTTTTCATTTTCTCTTCCCCTTCAAAAATAATGCTAGGCTTGCTCAATATGTTTTCAGAAACCCATTTGAAATGATTTGCAAATGGCAGTAGAAAACAGAAAAAAAATTCTCCTTGGATTTTAACATGTATTGGTTGTAACCATATTTTATACTCTGAAGCATTTCTTTCCCTTTCCTTGGATGGAAAAGGAAAAGCTAATTTAATGCCTATTTCCAAAGTATTTTGTGTCTTTCACTTTCTAAGTGGTTCCTTGAGTTTTGTTCAAGGCACAGAGAAATCAAAATACAACTCTAGCTAATCTTTGGAACTCACGTGGAATGGCTGGTAATGACATCTGGATTTATTCTTTTGAATAGTGGGCTATTTTCACAAATTACCTTCAAGTTCCTTCTTGAAGAGACAAACATTTAGAGTCCTATCTCTTTGACAAGCAGAGTGGCTTACTGACAAGATTGTATAAACCCCTCTTAAATTAATCTCTGCTGCTTCTGAGGCTACTTGGAAGTGCTTGTTTAGGGAAGGAAAGCCCACAGCCAGGTGCGGTGTGAAACAACAATTTTGTGAAAAATCTTAGGTGTTTTGAAGGCAGATAAGAGAAGTACCACTTAGTTAAGTTTCATAATAAGCAAATATAGCAAGCTTGACTGAAAAGTTTAACTTATTCAAGTTCTAAGTGTGCAAGATACTTACAGGGAAGAAGAAAAGGAAAATAAGTTTTGAGAATTTTAAGAAGGGTTTTTTTGTGTCTTTATATGTTTTACATTTTCCAATGTGGTTTAAATTAAATAAGGATATAGATTAATATAAGGAAATAGAATTTTGCAGAAATTGAATACATTACAGGCTTCTAATGATTTACATGATACAATCACGTGGTCTATGTTAGGTTTTCCAAAAGTTTGGATTTACTAGGAAAATATATGCAGGACTATTTTATTTTTTCTTAAATGGAGGATAAATAGGATGATAAATGGAGGCTTTGATAATGATGAAGCCATGCATTTAATTTATTTTCGCCTTGGAGTTTTCTTTCAGCATAAGTGACTAGGCTTCAAATTCACCAGAATCTCACTGAAGCAATTTGTACTGCCCTCTGCTTACAGCTATCCACTTTGTCAAGTAATTTGCTGAGACCCAAAAGTTTGGGAAAGCCTTGGATCATGACTAGAGCAGGTTGTGTAGCTCCATAATGCTTGGATCTCCATAGAAACTGAGCTACTACCCAGAAAACCCCTACCCCACTACCACAAATCGGCACCAAAGAATTGTGAATTGCAAATTACCAGAGCTAGGCATCCTGTGTATTATAGGCACAGGAGGAAGGAGAAGTGGCTTTTAATTTCTTACTTGCCTTACTCCTTTATTCTTCTGAAACAATGTAGAAAATGAAGAACATTTTCTTTGTATTAAAAGCTCTGTCTTCAATCCAGCCTCATTTCCAGCACACCAGTTAGGAACATGACTGCCATAGGCACCTTTTATAATATTTGAAGAAGTTTTTATTTCTAGGGTGGTACAGCAGGCATCCTAAGGCTGATCACATTTCTGAAATGGATCTTTGCGTGCAATGGACCATATGATCTAATTTTAAGTTTGAGTGAATTTAAACTCATTCATAATTTTTAGTTTGATTTTTTTGTCCACCCACAGACCTAATGCAATTTGACACATTGTTACACAAAACATAAAACCAAATTATACTACATACTCCATTTAACAGTTTGGTTAATAAATGCTCACCACTAATAAATAGTGGTGTGCAGGTGCCTTGTGGTTTCATTTTATAAATTTACAAATAAGAGTCAGAGAAGAGTCAAGATTCTGAAAAACTTGCTACAAAAATCTCTATATACTACTGAATTGTCAAACACACCCCTAAAAACCATAAAAAGTAGTCTTGGTTTGGTATTGTGAGTTTAATATACTTTAGGAAAAAAACAAAACAAAACAACAAAACCCAAACAACTAAAATGTATAACATAATGCTTCAATTAAAAAGTTATAAAAGTCTCAACATTACCTTTTGAGAGACGGATTTATTGGGATCAGATGTCTGGCAGATTGTGGAGTTACAGATTGCCTGTGCACTACCATGTAGCTCCATATCCAAGTGTAAATCCCACAAGATACCTCTAGAGTCTCTAAAGAGATAAATGTTGAAGAGAATCTTGACCCCTAAAATGCATTAAATAACTAAAAAGGTAATTTCTGTAACTATAAAGTGAGTTTACACCATTTACTGCTTTATCTGATTAATTAACACTGTATCAAGGTACAAGACAATAATCAAAGTACTGTAAAAAATAACAGTACTTTGCAATTTTATAAATAGTTATTTTAAGATTACTCTAAAATTATTACACAGTCTATCTCAATAGTATTTCAAATATAATCCCTTCTACTTATGGTTGTTATTTAATACAAGGAAGCTGAGAATTTTGAAGAACTTGGCCCAAAATTTACTGCATTTTTCTCTTTCTCTTTCATGGCTAAAGCAAAATTTTCATCACTTCAGAACAGGCTATGAAAATACTTATAATTTAGTTAATGAAGGAACCAGAATGGAGCAACATGCAATATATATCTGTTACAGAAGCTTCATTTTGCAGGTAGTTCATATCTTCCAGGCACTACCTAGAAAAATCTTTTTGCATACAAACCTCAATCTGCTTTGTCATACTTCTCAAAAATTTAATCAAACTTTGAAAAAAAAATGTAATTTTTTTGCTGATTAAATTCTAAAAAAATTATGAACAAAGGAACTTAAACTAGTTCAGTATAGCTATACTCCTAGCAGATAACTCTTATTCTTTTTTGGACAGCTGACTACTACACTAACAATACTCTGATTTTTTTTTTCTCATAAAAAATTGGTGGCTGAAATGAGATTTAGAAGAATAGAACAACATTTGTGTATAGTCAAAGCACACATTCAGAATATACATAGATGACAATTGCCATATTAAAATCAAGACTTCTTGGCTCCTTTGTACTGTGAATTCACAAATTTATTTTATGCCTTAGGCAATATCCATGCTTATGTCACTGTTATTAATTTCTATTGCATTTCCTATGAAGTGTTACTTTGCAACTACTTTAGCTATTCATGCTACAAATTCTGCCTCTTAGGTAGTTTATTGAAGATTTATCTGTTTGATGTTTCTTAATTTTGTTTACAGTGACAGAACAAATTCTTCTCTACCCATTAATTACTGAGAGTAAAGAAACTCCGTAAAAAGGGGAACTAAATTAAAAAAAAAAAATAAATCTGTGTTTTACAGCTTTTCTGCTCAGTTTCAGCAGTTCATTGACATCACCAAAGTGAATGAAGGAATGAACTTAACCTTAGACTAAAACTTAAACAAAATAAAAGTATCAAATAATAATAAGGCAGAAAAATAATCCAGCTCAATACTAGCGCTAGCAGTTCAACCTTTCACTTAGCCAAATATAGAAACATTTGTTGCTTTATAATGTAATATGACTTGGTCATTGAAGTATTCCATGGTTGATCAACTGCAAACTGTGCATTGGAACACTGAGTCAAACCACAACAAATTTTTATCTGACATGGACATCATTTTTGTCATTATTTTTTTCACCCTGTTTTTATTCCTCTTGCTTATCTGTTAGATACAAATTCATGATGATAGCATACATTGTGGACTGAAAAGGCACAGAAGTTTAACTGAAGAAATCTATCTATCATCAAATGGAAAACAATATGAAAAACTCACAAATAATGATATTGTGGATTCATTGTACAGTAAGAGAGGGAGTAAAAAGTATAAATGGCCTGTGTACAGTGTGCACACACCTCAGTAACAATTGCTATGCTTGTTGAAGTTTTGCCTTAGGGTTTTCCTAAAACACCAGTGTGTAAAGATTAATCCAGATCTTTAAATCTATAGTTATTCTGGTGCTCTCTCCTCACATGATGTTAGGCCGCAGTTAGTTATCTAAGCTAATTAGTTAAAATATTAAAAATATGTTTCCACCAGACTCTGCTGCTGAAGTTTTGGAGTCATTGCTCTTTTCAGCTGATGGCAGCTTATTTTTCTGCCAAATCAAGTTGGCACCTCCTTGACTTTGTCGATCCTTCGTCTTCTTTGTATCCAATCTCTGCCTCTTACCTCCAAATCACTGTAATTATTCCAATCTTCTGTTCCTAAGCACAGAGTGTTGACTGTAGCAGGAAATAAAAAATGGGGCAGGGTACCTTTTTCTGATTTGTTTAGTGCAGCAGTTCTTACGGTAGCAGAGAAGAAAATTTAAATGAACTTTCTCTGCATAAAAGTAATGTAAGATTGTCTGTACTCAATTCCTCTTGAATAAGGTCCAAGAGTTATTCTCTTGTATATGAAATAGATTCCTTTGAGTAGATGCTCTTCCCTACGTGTGCTTCAGATGTGGTTCAGCCATCCTTGGGAAAGGTAACAACCTGGCCTTTCAGTTAGATTTAGCTTTAGGCACCGGGGAAATATATTTTACAGGAAAACAGAAAAAAAATCTAGCCTTAAATAAACAAACTGACCTTCACATACCATTTATGAAGGTGACTTGCACAAGCACTTTGGTCTACTCCTATCCCAGAATTTGATTTTGTGTCTCTCCAGAGAAGGAGACTCCACACCCTCTCTCAGCAATGTGCTTCATCTCAGTTACCCACACACTGAAGAAGTTCTTCCTCATGTTGAGGTAAAACTTCCTATGCTCCAGCCAAACTGTGTACCAAGTCATACTATTTGGTAATTAGTTATTTCTCACAGTGAAAGGTGAAGAGCACGGGAGAACCCCTCACACCAGAAAGATCCACCTGGCTTCTGGCCATTGAACATTAAGGGAATTAAGATCTTCACCAATGAGCTCTGCTGCTGGGAGGTGCACAAAATCAAACCCAGGTGAAGAAGTCGTATCAGGCTTTACTTAGTATCCCTAATCACTACAGCCAGGGGAACTTCAAAACCAGAATTGCAATGCCATGCAACACCTTTTATTAAGGTTATTAACATTAATCTTGCATCACAGGGTACTGAATATTGGGGAATGAAGTCCTGGAGATTTTCTAAAAACATTCTTCATATTTTCGTGAACTTTATTACTCATCTGTGTTGCTTATAGTTCTTACTTTAACAAGGCACGCCTTCTTGGTGCAATCAATCAACATATTAAATAGTGGTTTGAGTGCTTAAACTTTGAGAAATAAAAATTCCAAGCAGGGTTTCTCTCATACAAACTCTATTTGAAATAAGATGAGGATGATATTTATAATTGAAAGGCCTTAAGATTTTTTTAATATTTTAGATTCAAAAGAAAATTATCTTTATTATTTCCATTTACCACTTTCTTCTTTTTTTTTTTTTTTTATTTTAATGAAAAGTGTAATCTTTCCAAACATAAAAAACCTTTCTGGGCTGCAGGCATCACATGTGAGCTACTGTGTAAATACTATGAGCAGATAGATAGATGATCCTCTCTCTGGGAAAACATACGGTGAAATCTAAAATGCATATCCTTTCAATTCAGTTTGACATTTAAAATATGAACAGATTTCAAATTATTTGAAAAATCATACTCTGTGTGTGGCAATTGTCTTAAAGTTTTTGATTGATTTACTGTTTGATGTTTATTCACAGGACTATTCATTAGTGACTTTAGCTCGTTTTTATGTAGCATAGATATTCTCTGTCTGTGAGCATTAGATTTGTGATGTGGGGAGATGAGCTAACCAGGGTTACAGCTGCAAAGCCAAACACGTATTCATGTCTGTCCCTCAGCTTTAACTAACATACTTCTGCCTCTGGCACTAGTAGTTTTCCTTGTGAAGCCAAAATACTTTGGCAGTCAGAAAAGTTCTGAGTGATAGCTGAAGAAAGCTCTGAGCATTTCTTAAATTAACTTTTTTAACTCATAGCCAAAACAGAACTTACTAACTTTTAAAACAAAACAAAGTGTGTTTGATGTCCTCATAGGATGTTATTTCATAATTTTACTATTCAACTATTTTTTTGTCATGACTATCATTATGAAATAGTTTATCACAAAACACATTTGCAATCAAATGCATTTGGCTCTTGCTCATATTTCAATTCTCCTAAGTGACCAGATTTCTCTTGTCTTAATTTGTGTTCACTTTTCTATGTATTAGAAATACTTTTCACTTTCATATATTAGGAAAGCTAGAGTTGGCTATAGATTCACGTAAGATTTTAAAATAAGTATAACTCATTTTAAAAAGTTAACATTATTGCTCATAGATAATATACTTTTGAGATGAACTTGTAAATCTTCTGTTCTTGGGACAGTAAAATACATGTCTTTTAAAACTCAAAGCAGCTTGTCAAAGTAATATGAATTATCGAGTGGGATTTAAAGAAGAAAAGGAATAAACTCAGGGTATGGTTTCAATTTCCAGAGAAAACTAATGGCAATCAGGTGCTTGATTCTTATATGTCATCAAAAAAGACCCCAACTTGTAGACTAAATTTTCATGGAAACTGAGAGAATAAAACCTCCACCCACAAACCAGAGCAGAAATGTCATATGAAACACCTGCAAAGAGGTTAATAAAATAAAACAAATTTTAAAAACCAAGACATGTGAGCCTTGCCTTAATTAAATACCTTTATGTCCACTTTGGTGCAAAGTTGCATTTGTTATCTCTGCCTGAAGGTGAGTGCCTGCCTTTTTAGAGTCTGGTTAGTACTGAGGGTCTGAAACAGCTCAAAGCCAGATCTCCTGCCCACACAAAGCCTCAGCACTGCAAATATCTAATGACACTTTTGTTCAGTAGCCTTATTAACATAATAAGCAGTAATTAAGAGCACCTGTGTCTAACCAGATTTTAGCTTGGATTTGCTGCTTCTTGTCAGATTTTGTTAATTTATTTTGAGCTCACAGTTTAGCCTAATAAAAGCTATTACCTCTTCCTACAAAATGTTTGCACGACCTCTATCAGCTTTCTGTTCCACAGGTCAAAGAATCCAGTAGTTCAATTGCCCTTCATGGAATATATTAAAAAAAAACAAGCAAAAAACAAACAAAAAACCCAACCTGTCTTTCTTCACATGTTTAATTTTTTTATCCATGCTTTAGAATTTACATTCTGGGAAAGCAGGCATGTATTGTCATTACTGTCTATGGTATGTCTATTTTTGTTGGGATAATTTCCAGCATAGCTACAGCAATCAATTTAGCTATGCTTATATAACTTCCCCACACAGACAGTGAATCACTGAGTAAATCCAGCTGCCTTCCAGATTAATTACTCTATTTCTAAATAATAAAAGCACTTCTTTTGAAATAATTTTGACAGTGGGGGAGTCATATTAGGATAGTTTAAAGTGGACTAATTATTCTGCCAGTTTCATGTCTGGAAATGTCTCCATGTAGACAAAGCTTTCAGCTGATGCAAGCTCCCTTGCATAGTCAGTCCCACGATGGGAGCACAGTGCCTCTCCTTCCACTAGGGAGATCTCTTTCCCGTGTGATAGGTGTCTGTGGAGAGCATCTGCAGGAGGAACTACCAGAAAGAATAACCACAGCATGATTATGTAACATTGTGTTTTGATTTTCTGGTACTTGTGTTTTACTCTCACTCTCAAGAGCTTCCCTGACTGATTTTCTTTCCCTCCTTGCTGTTTTTTTTGGGTTTTTTATCAGTTCAATTTCCCCATTCACTTTAATTAAGATGTCCCCAGGCTCGCACGCTTGTAAACTCTTATTTATTTATTTTAAAGTGAGCTGACTAACTAGCCAGAAATTTCCCAAACCTCTAAGCTCTCATTAAAGTCTTCTGTCAAAGCCTTTCATTTTATTTTTAGTGGGACTGATCTAGGCATAAATTGAAGCAAAAGAAGAAGGGGACAACGATTTACTCTGTATAAATAGAATAAACCTATTATTACCTAGAAATAGAAATTACAGAATCCGGTGAAAGGTATGCACATACTGTTATTTAGGTTGCAGAAATCAGGAAGTCCCATTATTCACCAATTACAACTATCAAATCCTTGCTGTTTTCACTCCATCTTTCCATACTCTAGAATTTTCACAGATATCTACTATCAGTTTTTGTATAATTTCATAGAATCCTTTGTAACTTTTTGAAGTATTTAATATAAAATCACTGCATTTATCATTTTACTTGGTATGTAGGGCAGTTGTATGACTTGAGTCAGTATTGATATACTCACTCAGATTTGAGTGAGTATAAAGTTTCAAGCACAATCTATCTTATCAAAAAAATATTACTCCAATTCAAACCTATAAGAGCACTGTTGGAGACTTTCTCTTAGCTCTTCTCCTCTCACAACTTTAAAATTTATTGGGAAAAAGCAGGAAACTATGCACAGATGCTACCTCCATATTCTCAGTCTAACTTCAAGAAGAAAGTACATACCTAAGAATTTTCATGGAATCATAAAATCAGAATAGTTTGTCTTGGAAGGGGTCCTTTAGAGGTTGTCTGGTCCATGCAATGAGATGGAACATCTTCAAATAAATTGTGTTGCTCAGAGCTGCGTCCAGCCTGACATGGAATGTTTGCAGGCAGGGGGCATCCACCCTCTTTGGGCAACACATTCCAATGCTTCACTGCTCTCATTGGAAAAAATATCTTCCACTATGTAGTTTAAAGATACCCTCTTTTTGTTTAAGCTATTACTCCTTTTTCTACTATAACAGGCCCTGCTAAAAGGCTGCAAAAGGTGTTCCCAGAGTTTTCCCTTCTCCAGGCTGAACAGGCTTCTCCTCTAGGCTTCCTTTTCTATGAGCCTGTCCTAATAGGAGAAGTGTTCCATTCTTCTAAATAACTTTTTTGTTTCCTCTGAACTTGCTCCAACAGGTGTATGTCTTTCCTCTGCTGAGGACCTCAAAATGAGATGCAGTGCTCCAGATGAGGCCTCACCAGAGTGAGGTACAGGGGCAGAATCCCCTTCCTTGACCTGCTGGGTATGCCTCTTTTCAGGCAGCCCTGGATGTGGTTGGCTTTCCACCAAAGAAAGTCTGGAGAAAACTTTAAATCTGGAGAAAGGAGGCTGATCAAGGGACCTTATTTCCATGTACAACTACACAAAACAAGGATATGGTGAGGTGGGTGTCAATCTCTTCTCACAGTTATCAAGTGACAAGTTGAGAGGAAATGGTCTCAGGTTGCACCAGCAGACTTTTGCATCAGATAATATGGAAACTTGTTTCACAGAAATGGTTGTCAAGCACTGGAAAGGAGTGCCCAGAGGGTGGTGGAGTCATCATCCCTGAAAGTGCTAAAAAACATAAGTGGGTATGGAACTTAAGACTTGGTTTAGTGGTGAACATGGTTGTGGTGCTGTGTCGATGGTTGGACTTGTTCTTAGGGGTCTTTTTCAAACTTAACAATCCCATGGTTCTGTGGTTCTGTGGTTCTGGGCTGTGAGAACAGAACACTACTCAGCCATGTCCAGCACTGCATCCACCACTATCCCCAAATCCTTCTCATCAGGGCTCTCAATCCCTTCACCCTCTGTTACCCAGTGATTACCATGACCCAGGTGCAGGACCTTGGACCTGGACTTGTTGAACCTGATGGGCCTGATGGGCTGACTTCTCAGTCTTGGCCAAGTCTGTCTGGATGTTATTTATTCCCTCAACTATGTAAAAAAAAGTTAAGCATATGTTATTTGCATTGTCACACAATAAAAGACATGAAAAAAAGAGGGAACTGATCTTATCAACCTCAGAAACCTTTCCACAGAAAAGCTGAAATTATCATTATGCTTCCTTGTTTATCATTCTACAGTGATTTTTGTCAATCTCTGTGGAAGAGTTCTTCAACGAGACAACTTGAATTAATTTTTTGTAGCTTCACAACATGGCACATCAAAGGCTTCAGTAAAATCAAAATATATTGCATCTGCTGTCTTCTCTGAAACTACTAATCCTGTAATTTTGTCAAAAGCAACAGACTGGAATAAAAAGATTTAAACATCTTAATTTGATGCTCCTCATTGCATTCCAGTTATTTCTGTCTGCAGATACATATTTACGGTTACTTAAGAATATTTTTCTGCATTATAATTTTGTGTGATAGTTCAAGGGTCATTTCTTATCATCACAGGTAATGGAAAACTAAAGAGCAGTCATCACGCATGTGATCATAACAATAATAATAATAATAGCAGTAGTAAGTTGGTTCAGATATTTATTTTTTTCATAAACAATATCTCACGCCATAAATACGATATCTCATGTATTTATAATTTATTTTAGGACTATAAAGGTTAGAATTTAATGATTAATTGATAAGGAAATTATGGAATTCCTTATTACTGAAAATCATGTGTTTGGACAATACTGTGTCCTAATTATCGAGACATATCTGTAGACAAGATAAACTAAGCAAAGTGTCCCACCCTTTTTTTTTTTTAAATATTAAACATCATACATAATAGCAAATATAAAATGTTTATAATACAATAATGCACATTTTAAAAATAAAATTTATAATGTCAATTTTTCATAAGACAATCTTAATCAATTGATCATTACTTATGGGCACTTTTCCTATACCTGGAAGTTTAAGCTAAAAAAAACCCCTTAAATATTGTTGACAAAGTCATCCGGTGACTGGTTTTTACATAATGTGAAAGAACTTAGTTCCCAGATTCTTTCCAGACAAATAAACATTAAAATTACAAACAGGAAGTGATATTAGTGATACTTTCAAAGAAAAGTTTATTTGCTGCCTGCTCAGAAGTCATGTCTTTTCCTCTGATTCTTCACCATCATACATCACCAGGGTTAAGTGATGAACCTTGCTATCATTCCAGCCCATTGACATATTTCCTTCTTCTATTTTTTCCCACAGTAAAAGGTGGCAATATCAGCATGACTGTAAAGGTGTTTAATTCATTACAAGAAAATACCTAGAAATCAGTAGAAATAAGTTTGGATGGCCAGATTCATGCCACTGAAATAGATTTACAGAGAAGAGGTAGAAAATGTTTGGTTAAGATAAAAAGGCATGTGAGTGAAATACACTGAACTGTGCAGGAACCCAAAGATGAGAATCACGGGAAACATCAGAAGAAATTTCAAGATGATATGAAATAGTCTCAGGGTAATAAAGTAAAAGGAAATGTAGCTGCTGTAAAAGCTACAGAAGGTGCTCTCTCTCAAATCTAATGTCAGGAAATTACAGAGAAAGCCAGCAACCTGAGGCGATCAGAATTTTATCAACAGCTCAGGGAAGAGAACACCAGCATGACAAGTATGACCTCTTCTTTCCTTTCATATAATGACATTTTTTGCTAAGATTGTGAAAAATTCTCTCACTGCAAGTGAATTTCAGCAGAGATAACAGAGACTTTCCCTTAGATCTTCTTAAACTCCACCACCTCCATGTGGAAGTAATGAACTTTTGAAACATATGAACAAATACCAGCCACTATAGAATAGAAAAAAATTGCTGACAAAGTGCTGAGCAGCCAACAGTCTGTTCACCTTCAGAGAATAAAATTCTTAAGAAAGCACTCCTGTGTCCCAAAAAGAAAAGTACCAAAAATTTCTCAGTAGATGAAAAATCAATGTCCATGGTGCCTGTGTAAAAAAATGTAGGTATTATTCATGACATCACAGCCTTTCTCTGATTTCCCCCTAAGTAGTCTGTTAGAGACATCTTGAAGGAAATACAACTTTATCTAACAAAAGCACTGGGATTACCTGTAAGCAAATCTGTATGTTGAAGAGGATGGAATTTCTAAGAAGTTTTCTG